ATTATTATTATAGGAGACTCCGGATATCCTCTTGAACCTTGGCTGCTAACACCATATAGGAATGCGCCAGAACGTTCTGATGAACTCTATTTCAACCAACAGTTTACAAAAGGCCGATCATTAATTGAACGCGTGTTTGGTGTATTGAAAGGGAGATTTCGATGCCTGTTATCTGCAAGAGAGCTACATTACGCGCCTGAAAAAGTCGTTAAAATTTTGAACGTATGCTGCGCTCTATACAATATATGCATTTTGTACAAGGTAGAAGTACCAATTAATATTACACTTGAGCCAGAAGAATTTCCCACCAGTAATATAGATTTACCTAACAGTGGTAATTTTATTACTATTGCTAGAAACATTAGGGACGATATTAAAACAAATATGATAAATGCTCGTAACTCAACTTAATTAAAACGAACTATTTTCAAATTAATAAGTCCAGTCTTTTATTTCATTGTAATAAGGAGAATTAAATTTAAATAATTACAAATTAAATTTGTAGTTTTTAATTCTACTTATCGCAGTTATGTAGTTATTTAACTTACATTTTCCAGTTTCTCAATTTTTGTTTATATAGAAATTTTTCCTTTTCAAAGGTTAGTCTCCGTTTTTCTAATTTATTTCTTTTTTTCAATGTTTTAAAAATGTTTTTTATATTAAAATTTATATCGTTTAACACTTTAATCGAGCTATTGTGGAATATAATTTGGTTTTSGATTTGTTGTTCAAGCAGAGTCTGCTGCTTTTTGCGCGGTGGGTACGTCATTGAACATTGTGGTAGTTCATTTTCTTGTATATTAAGAGGAGTCTGCTGTTTTTTTGTGAGGTGTGCATGCCACTTTGGAACATTGTGGTAGTACACTGTTTTGTGTATTTGTTTCGGTAGGGTCTGCATTTACCTCCGACATGCTGCTTGTAGCTGCACCGAATGACAAGGTACCACTCATTCCATTATTGATTCCTCCATTGACAATAACTCACTCACTTGATGCTCTAACTGTGATAAGGGTATGGAAAGTGAGGGACCACCTCCAGTTCCCGAAATATTATTTTTGTTTCGTCGCATTTTTGCCTTTAAGTGA